ATTATAGAACATGGACTATGAACAGTGAAGGAGCATTATAGAACATGGACTATAATCAGTGAGGGAGCACTATAGAACATGGACTATGATCTATGAGGGAGCACTATGGAACATGGACTATGATCACTGAAGGAGCATTATGGAACATGGACTATGATCAGTGAAGGAACACTATGGAACATGGACTATGATCAGTGAAGGAACACTATAGAACATGGACTATGATCAGTGAAGGAGCACTGTAGAACATGGACTATGATCAGTGAAGGAACACTATAGAGCATGGACTATGGTCAGTGAAGGAGCACTATAGAACATGGACTATGATCAGTGAAGGAGCATTATAGAACATGGACTATGGTCAGCGAAGGAGCATTATAGAACATGGACTATGATCAATGAAGGAGCATTATAGAACATGGACTATGATCAGTGAAGGAGCACTATAGAACATGGACTATAATCAGTGAAGGAGCATTATAGAACATGGACTATGATCTGTGAAGGAGCGTTATTGAACATGGACTATGATCAGTGAAGGAGCATTATAGAACATGGACTATGATCAGCGAAGGAACATTATAGAACATGGACTATGATCAGTGAAGGAGCATTATAGAACATGGACTTGGGTATTTTTCTCAAGAGAAAATAAAAGAAGGACCAAGAGCACTGTGTGTGACTAAAGATGGTGAGCCTGAGGCTGGAATTTAAAGTCAATTCTAAGAAGCCTCCTAGCATCGCAAAATGAACTGACTGCCCCCGGACTGAGTGGGCACTGCGGCTGTCTTTACTACCATGGCGAGGCAGCATTCAGCGCTTGTTTGAGGCAAAAGCTGGCGTATGAAGTCTGCAGGCTGCTGAGGCTGGGATTTCATCAGCTCTTAGCTTTAGCACCTTGAACTACTAAATGATCTCTGGTGTCTCCCTTTCCTCATTTGAGCCATAATAATCATACTTTCCTCTTGCTGGGTCTTTGTGACTGTTAAGTGAAAGGATAAACATGAGGTGTATAGGTGACGTGGCATAATGAAGAAAGAAGTAAATGGGCCAGACTTGTAGTCAAGAAAGTCACAGTGCAGCGAGGGAGATTAACAATGCATAAGAAGTAGCTTTGATCCCACAATGCTTTTGTTGAGTCCTCATAAAGAACCATGGAGACAAAATGCAGGATAATCGTGCCCAGGGGACCCTGTCAGGGAAGCTCACAGGGCTGGCATCATTGCTGGGACCTGGGGTGTGAATGGAGTTTATCAGACGGAGGAGGGAGGCCGGAGGGAGGGAGAAGATACATGGTGCATTCCTTGCAAAGTCACTTGTGAAGCCAGGGATAAGTCAGCTTCACTCAGGCTTTGTGGGATCTCAGAATCCTGTACCTGCGCTGGAATCATGCCACCAGGTGAGCAGACTGAGCAGGATTTTGCTGTTTCTTGAAATTATCTAGCAGTGGGTGCTTTGTTCATTCCGTGCATTTAATGCTCTACCGCGACGGCCAGGAGATGTGAGCCTCACACCTACTTGATGCTCTACCCCAACAGTCAGGAGATGTGAGCCTCGTGCCTACTTGATAAATAACTATCTGGACATGGATTTTTAAAAAATCATATTTAATCGTGAATTTTGCATTTGTATATGAGTTTCTTGGTGTCCGAGGCCTGGGACTGAGAGGGAACAGGGTCTCAGGCTGACTTTGTATCGCAGCCTGGAGGGCGTGGCCTTACCACTCTGAACAGACTCATGGTTCACCTCACTCAGGCTCTGTGCTTGGCAGTAACCTCGGACACAGCTCAGAGTATGGGGAGATATTTGGATTTTAGAGCAAGAAAGATTATCGAGTCTTCTGTACTTAATACCTTTTGGTCTCATGTGTCCCAGATTTGAAACTTTTTATCTGCCAATGATTTATTTATCAGATCATTTCCTATCACTTATTAATTGTAATATGAAAACAAATCAGCAATAGCAGAAGCAATGGGCCAATCTTACTTTTTGCAAGACCTGGTTGATGTTTTTCTTAGACCGTGTGTACATTTCTGAGGCAAATACACTGCTTCTGTTACGTATTTTGATACACTGGCGATCCTGTGGGAGCTGCCACTGTCCCTCTCTGAGTCTCTGTGGGTATACGCTGCTGATTATTTGGACTGGCTTTGATTTATACTGACTTACATTAAGGAACGGAGGGACTAAATATACAAATGACCAGCACATTCATAAACATAGAATTTTGACTCTGAACCTGTAGTGTCTAGTCCAGGAAACCATTACGTACTGTAACCTGCCTAGGAGAGAAGCCTGCTGTCGGTCAGACTTACAGGTTGGCAGGTCCCCATCCTCAGAAACAAGTATTCACTCTGTCACACAAGAGCCGGTGGACTGCTCTTGATCAGTAACGGCATCCCTAGTCTTCATCCCTGTTTACAACTTGGGACCAAGCAGAGAAAGCCAGGCACGTGCCCCTAATAGTGACATAGGGTGCGTGGCTCTAGCAAGTCTTGCTCCCTCTTCCCCACAGCAATCTACCATTGGGTGCCTGAGGGCTTCCTTGCTTTCTCCCAGAAAGCTTCTGTCTCTTCTTGCTTTCATTGACCCCTACATCTGTTTGCTAAGTGGCTGGCTTCCTGGTTCCTGGTATAGCGAGCTCCAGATAACTAACCCGTGCACTGGGGTGATCTGTCTTCATAACATAGATCTGTGGCATGGTAATAGCACTTTAACCAGCACTTTAACCATTCATATGGCATATAACTCACATTTGGGTAGCAGGTTGTTTTAATAGCATTCCAATCCAGTT